AATGAATGCTTAAATTAATGTGCATACACATACATACATATAAATAAATATTAAATATATTTTTAATTATTATTTACATACATATGCTGATATGAAAGACAATTTCAGTTGTCCTATATTGCAGCGACTATACATAAATTTGGATTATTCAATTTAGTGTACCTGCATAAAAAAAAAGAAACAAGTATAAAACAATCAAAATAAACTCAGTTTCACTATAAATGAGTTATAAAACTCCTGACTATGAATTAATAAATTTCATATGCAAAACCCAAACATTTCTCGTTCATAAAAGCAAAACAAAAACTTTACTTTGAAAAGTTTGTATTCCCGAAAATCTGTTAAGCTAATATTATTTTAGTATTTAAAGTCCGGATAAATGCGAGAATTTTAGATAGCAATTTATAATCTCGAATGCATAAACGAAGCAGACTAAGTGCAAATTTGTTGGGTAAAAGAAATTGATATGAAATGGATTAAATATGATAGCAAAAAAAAAATAATAATATTTAGGTTTATATAACAAATATTTAAATTCGCTTCTAGATAAAATATAATTAAAATAAATTTTAGATTTAAAAACTATTAGTAAATATGATTCAATAATTATAAATTTTAATCGATATAGAAAAATATTAAACTATATCTGGGTCTCTTTTGAATAAATCGTTTGATAATAAATACTGTTAATGCTATGTTAAAAAAAAGTCTGTTAATTTATATATTTTATTTATTATTTAAAGTTTGAAATGACATAAAATTAACCTTAACATTTAAGGAAAAACACTTCAGCTTGTAATTTGTATAATTCTGATTTAATTATTTAATCTTAGTTTTATTAAATTTTAATTCAATGCGGCTTACAAATCTCAAGTCTCCAATTTGCGAATACTTAGTAAACATAATTAAATAATTCAAATACGTTTAGCCAATTGCCTTTATGTCTTGGCCAAGTACAGATTAAATGCAGCCAAAGAGAAATATTATCAAATGAGACGCTCAAGATTCTGAGAATTGTCCAGGGCATATCCAGACACAGATATATATGTATGTATATGTGCATGTATACATACATACCTATACAGATGTATGTATTTGGATCTATTTATGGGCTTTTGTGTGCTTTTGGCTGGCAGCTGCTCGAGCTGTTTGCAGTTAACTGTTAAACACTCTTGTGGCCATAAAGCCGCACACATTAAATGCGCCGTCGAATAGTTTGGCTTGTAAATCACATCACACATACGCAGCGTGTGCCCAACTTGAATCCTTATCTGCTACTCTCTCTCTCACTCTCTATTGAGCACGACTCTGTGTGTGTGAGTGTGTGTGTATGTTTGTAGTTGTGTGCATTAGCTTGAGCTGCATTTTAATACACACAGCGCTAATAATTCACACAATAAGCTCGAAGGCTCGCAGGCAATGCCATTGCCATTGCCATTATTCATAGGGCAGCCAAATAAGCGCTGTGCAGGTGGTTAGAGTATGGACAGGGCAGCGAGTTGCTAGCCGAAACATATGTCTGAGCAGGTACAGCAAACACACACACATAGACTACATATAGACACAGGAGTCTGACTAAAGGAATGGGCACAAAAATATGGCCAGCTTTACTGCTGCCTGATATCAAGTTTGCTGGGTAAGGTAAGGGAAGGAACGACGCAGACGGACACGTTTATAGTATTTGCCAATGCACTTTTCACTTTTATTGTTGCTGTTGCTATTGCTGTTACCTGCTTGTTGGCAAAGTGTTTTGTTGCCTAGACTACATAGACATATACATTTCTATATATACACACACACATTGATATATGTACGTGTCTGGGCTCTGGCAAACATGAGCTGCAGCCTGCAGCCTGCAGCAGGCAACGGCAACGGCAACAGCTGCAGCTGCTTCTTACATTTATGCGCTTTGGTTAACTGAGTTTTCACAGAGTTTACTATATTTTTTTCTGCTTTTTTTTTTTTTTTTTTTTTTTTTTTGTATGTTTTTAAGTTTTTATGACAGCTTGCTGCGCTGTGAGTGCCGGGTTACACGGCATCAGCATCTGTTCTCTCTGCCCAAGTACAACTTGTTTGCTGGCTTAGAGGATTTGCCTCCTGTGTGCAGGCGCCTGCTGTGTGCTGCCAGCTGCTGTCAAATCAATTAATTATGTGCCATTGCTTTACATTTGTAGGTGGCCCAGGCATAAAAATAGAAAAGGCAAAAGAAAATAAAATCAAATGCCAATGAAATTTGCCTCGGACAAATTTCGTTCTCTCTGGCCACAAAACATTTGTGTACACATGTCTCCATGCATATATATGTATATGTTGTATTTCGTATGTTGTTGACTGGGTATTTTTCGATTTTATTGCTCAATGAATAGAGCTGCCACAGAGGAGGAGTGGCAGCAGCAGCAGGAGCAGGAGCAGCAGAAGCAGAAGCATTTGCAAATCCAGCCTGGATTGCATTAATGTGCGGCATTTAAATGCTTTGCGACCACAAAACACAACACCAAGCAATAGCCAAAGCCAAAAAAGGGACATTCTGCATTTGCATGAAAAATCACATACACACACACACACACACACAGACCACACCAGCTCAGTAGCATTCGCCCACATAGAATACGAGCAGCGAAGACAAGTTTAGGGCTGACTCGACTCGCATATACTGGCACTTGTTAACGATTCTCGAACTACTTATAAGTAATATTATTTGAGTTCCATTTATTAGGAAAGTTATTCCTAAAAGGTGTGTTAGAGCTAACTTTCGTAATCAATGTAATACAAGTAGCATTACTTATAAGGAGTTCTAACTAATGGAGACTAAGCAAGCTCTAATAAGGAAAGTAATGTGTGAAGTATTGATAGTATATTGATTTTGTGTACTGCCTTGTCTTGGGCTCCATTTGTTTGTCTATTGAAGTTAAAGACGGGAAATTTTGGGAATTTTCCCTATATATATTGTTGCTGAAACTAGAAAATGTGGCATTACTATGGGAATGAAATATAGTAACATAGCGACATCTATTTATCTATCCAAACGAAATCAGAAGCGAATTTTCGACAAGCACTAGAAATCTGAATTATATTTATAATTTACTCTTACCTGACTCACTTAATGTAGCATTTTAAATCATATACTCTGTTTTAATTTAAACTCTAACATCCTAAAGACTAACCAAGAATCAGATTTGTAATAATACTTAGATCAGCTTCACTCTGTTAAGTCAATGTTAAGGTTTTCTGCAAAATTACTAAACTACTTTCTAGCTATCTAGCTTGAAGTTAATGTTTTCTTATATATTATTCAATGATATCTATTTTTTTATTTTTTTTTATTTTTATTATTATTCCTAGCTCTCGCTCATATTTAATCATAGAAAATTTATAATACGTTGACAAATCTATCTAAATTGTCACTAAATACGCCCTGTTTGACAAATGGTTAGGGTCTTAGAAAACGTTTGGGTCAGAAATTGGAGCCAGGACCTAAGCAGATACATTTTGTTCGCATTGCCGTTGCCACTGTTGTTGTTGTTGTTGGTCATCTTGTTGTTATTGCTGTTGTTGTTGTTGTTGCAAGGATACAGGCCCAAAAACTGGCGACAAACAACGCACAATTCGCATTGTTTGGCTTTTGTCAGCAGCAACTAAGCCCCAACCTCATGTGTGTGTGTATGGATGTGAGTGTGTGTTGTTGCTTGTCTGGCTTTGTGTGTGTGTGTGTGTGTGTATGGTACTCTAATGCATGTGCTGTGAAATTTTGTGATTTATGACATTAAATGCACAAAAATGGGATTTTATACGAATTTAATGGGTTTTTAGTGTATTTTAATGTGATCCATTTGTGAAAATTTGCAGATTGTCGAGCATTCACAACAAATTCATTTGATAGCTTCGAATATACATATATGTATACAAATATAAGTGTATTTCTTTGCAATATGAAAGCTGAACAAATGTCTTGTGATTTAGTGCACATTATATGGAATAATAGCCCAATCCGAGTCAAGTTCAACAATGCTGCGTTTATTTATTACAGGTGCCTTGAGGGCTGGCCCTGGCCTGGCTCTGAGATTACAAAGGCTTACGCTCCACGTGCAGAGTTAGTCGAAAGCCGCCCACAAAGCTGCCGAACTTATAGAAACGCATATTGAGCCGAAAGCCGCCGAAGGGCATCAAGTCCGGCCAGGTGTCTGTATTAATCAGCAGATTTCTCACATAGTAAACGCCCCGGGGCAAAGGACATTCGGTGCCCGTAAAGGGAAGATTCGTGTTTTCGCCCAGTTGCAGCGTCGTCTTGGCGTAGGTGCCCACAAATAGACGCATTGCCGTGCAGACATCCCTAATCGGCACAGACAGGATCATCACACGCCACTGATCACTGAGCCTGGGATCGTGCTGAAAGTCGATGGACATTTGAAACTGCCTCGGATCCATGTCCTCCAGTATGCGAACCGTGCCATTCAGCGCATGATCTTCGCCCACAATGCTAATATTACGAAAATCAATTAAATGTTGCTCGATGCCAACCAAAGACTCAAAGCTCGTTATCTTTGCAGTGAACACATATAAAGCCTGTCAGAGATTGTAATTCTTATTCAATTTTCCTATTATTCAATTACTTCCTTCGTGGACTTACCCAGCCCAGGGAGAGCTTAGCTCTTAGTAGCAATATGTGCAGCACTAGCACTGCTGGCAACTTCATTTCTGAATTTCGCTAATTGAATCGTTTGCATACATTTATATATATACATATATGGCGCTTCATTAAAATGCCGAACATGTTTTTACAAATATCGCAGATTCGCATCAATTTAATGTGCTCAATTACAGGCAGATATAATTGCAATTTGCTACTAATTACTAACTTCTAATGCCTAAACGCTGCCCGATTAGCCCTTATTAAAATATTTCCCAAATCACGTTTTGATTTCACTTTATGGCATACAAAGTTTTAATTATATAAGCGCTGCTGATTTATTGATTTTGCACATCTGTCACAGGTTTAATTGAGGCTGAACTATCTAGCTTTTTCATTTAATTGAAATTGCATATTCAAATTTATAATTGTTTGTTATCGTTGCGATATTATCTCTGCATTATGTTATGGCTGCTGTTATATTTAACAGAGGCAGAACAGAGGCAGAGCAGAGGCAGTGCCATTCTGCTGTTAACTTAACATTTTCAAGGCTAAGCCAATGATGCTGCTGATTCTAAGACTTAAAGCTGAAATAAACATCACATGAATATGAGAGAATATTTATTTAGCTTTTATTTTATTAAATTTATTATCAACCCTTTGCATTCATTTATATATTAAATATATTTCAGTAAATTTCTCCCATACATTTACAATTCAGAATCATGTTTATGTTTTATTTAAGTCAATCAATCAATCAATCAATCGAATATCTGTCCAACGCTATTGTTTCTTCTGTACATCAATCGTGATGCTTAAGCCGCCCGCTGGCTTATTTTGCTTGAAGAAACGCAAATTTATTCTCAGTCCGCCGTACGGCACCACATCTGGCCACGTTTCGGTGTTGAGCAGCAGATTGTTGGTGAAGTATGTGCCCTTTGGCAGCGGGCATTGTGTGCCATCGAACGGCACATTCGTATTCACGCCCAATTGCATTGTGGACTTGCCGTAGCTGCCAATGAAGAAGCGCATTGCATAGCAAACATTGATGAGCGGCATGGCGAATATCATTGTCTTCCATTGTCCATTTAGGCTCGGATCGTTGAGCATATCCACAGACATTTGATGGCTCTTTGCGTCCATATCCTCGAGTATGCGAATGGTGCCATTCAGAGCGCGCTGACGTCCCACAATGTGCAAGTCGCTGAAATCGATAACCAACTCCTCCTCATGCGGCAAGACTTCAATTTGCAGAATTGATGCGGTGTACTTGTAGAAGCCCTTGGAAAGGGAGAGTGAGAGGGAGAGGGAAAGTGTAGCCTAAGTTGGCTTTTGGTTGAAATATGCTGTCATAATCTTACCCAGCAGCTGGACAAATTGACTTGCAGCTGCAACAAACATAGCACAGCTATAAGAAACAACTTCATTTTGCGTCCATTTCAGCTGACGCGCCCTCCTTTTATATGGCTAATTATTAAAATAGTTTTCATGCAACTGCACAATCTGATTGCAGCTGATTAAATGTTTAATTTGTGCAAATTGCAGCTAATTGCATATTTGTTAATACTGGACGGGCTTGGTTGCCTCATGACATTTGGAGTCATGCAGCGTATACGTGATATTACGTATACGCCCTGGCGAACGGCAAGCAAGAGCCATATGCACTACCAATTTATGGCTTCAATAAACATAAAGTTCATAAACTCCCAAGGCGCCGTTGCTCATCATTTGCAGCGGATTGTCAGGAGTAACAACAGCAGCAGCAGCAGGAGCCGGAGCAGGAGCAGCAACAGGAGCAGCAGCGGCAGTCGCTGTGCAGCGTCGATGTTGTTGCTCGGTCAAATAAATAATGAAAAAGAAAAGTGATGTCATAAAAATTTTATCTCTTAACTGGAATTGAGCAGCATGAACAAACAGCAGCAGCAGCAGGAGCAGCAGCCGTTACTGTGGCTGCAACACAAAAGCATAAGCAACAACAATATCAGACACACACACACACAGTCAGACACTCACAGACACATACACTTTAGCACTCACACATACATGCATGTGATGCTTGGTCATTTTCATATAAAAATTGACAATGGCGTTGGCCCTTTTTACAGGGATCTATATGTATGTGTGTGTGTGAGTGAGTGTGAGTGAATGAAAGAGTGCGTGTGTTTTATCCTTGTATTTGTGTTTGCAAGTGGAAAATGCGACAAAACTGAGGCAGATACTACGCTCTACACATACATACATACGCACACACACACAAATACATACTTACATGTACATATACAACTATATCGCATAAAGAGCTAACTGCAAACGACTACAAAATGCACACGGCATGCAGCTCTATCAGCCAAGAGCTATATAATAGCACAACAGCATTACAACAAATAATAACAACAACAACTATAAGGAAAAGAAGCTAAAGGCAAAACCCATTCAAAGTCAACAAAGCAGCTGAGCTGCGATTTCTCTAGTTATTATTGTTGTTGTTGTTTTTTTTTTTTTTTTTTTATTTATACAAAGACATAAAGCAAATAAAACTGAAAATTCTCAATTTTTTGTTTATGATACAGAAATGCTGAAGTCAACAGCTAACAGCTTATAGCTAACATAAATTCTATAAGAGATTTTAGGTGAATATGAAATATGCTCACATATACATATGTATATTGCTTATGCATATTGTAATTTTATTTAATAAATATTTGTGTGAAAAATTGAGTAAAGCGCTATGAAAATAAAAGAAATTTATATAAAGATTTTGGACATATATTATCAAGTAAAATTATAGCTAAAATTCATGAAAATTAATCTTAACTATATTTAATTTTTGTTTCATAAGAATTTAATATAAAAATACATAACAATTGATTCTAATGTTCATATAAATTATTTAAATTAAATATCACATCATATTTTATTTTATTTTAACATTTAAAACTTCTACGACTACGTCAGTTTTACGATTTTCAACTGTATTATTTTATAATTTTTCCAGCCAGTTTAGCCTTCTACAGCATCCACTAAAAAGCGCTAAAACTTTTCTATGAGCTACTTTCAACAGCTAAATTCATAATTTGACCGACACTAGTTTGGCTTTTGAATTAAGTTTCACTTTTCAAATAGTAAAAACACTAAAACTGTAAAAAACTATTAGAACTTATTTTTAGAGAACAGCTCCAAACTTATTTAGACGCAAACAAAAATATTTTTGTATATTTGTATTTCAATTTCCAGGGCTATGAAAAAAGGCAGCAAAACAACTTTTTGAAAAGGTTACGCCCCCTCCATAGCGAACTTTCGCTTTTGACTTTCAATTAAATGATATAAAAAAAGAAAAAGGAAAGAAGTGTGTGAAGGTTGTAAGAATATGCGTATACCGGTAAACACATTTCCCAATTTGTTGGCTTGAAATGCTTTTAATGTGAAAACTTTGCTACAACGCCTTGAACAACATATTGTTGCCGCTGCCCGACAACAGATGGCGCTGCCAGGCCATGTGGCCAGGTTACGCTTGCTGGAAATCTCTTCTACGATTCACCTCTCACTTCCTCACCCACTCTCCCTCTCTCTCTCTCTCTCGCACTCTGCCTCTGTCTCGATGATTAAGTTGCAAAAGTTTTGGCTAGGGTAAAGGAAGGCCAAAAATTTTTGGCAAACACCGCGGACTCCACTCCCCGCCTCGAAAAAAATAAAAAAAAAAACAAGCAAAAGTTCAAGTTGTGTAGGGCAAATGCAATCAAATGTAAGTACAACAACTGCAACAAGGTTTTAAGCTGGCACAGCAAAAGGGGAGCGCGTAGCTGCTGGTGGCATGTGGCATGGGGCATGCGGCAGTTGGCTGTGTAGCTGAAGCTAAAAGCAAACAAAATATTGAATATGATTTGCAAACAGATGTGCGCGAGGCACGGCTACAGTCGCTGTTTAAGCCTCGCAACTCCCAATCAATAACACATGACTGTGTTGGCTGTGTACAGCAAACACACACAGACACAGACACGAATGTTGAACTGGTCTTTATGGCTACGTGACTTGATGTCTCCATCTTGCGCGCCTCTCAGGCCGTAAATAGAAAATGAAAAGCGAAAACAAGCAAATCGAAAGGCAGCCAAACACCCAGCCGAACAGTAAAGCAGGCTACGCAAATATCTACATCGGTTGTCGCCTTTTTACGCACCTACACACACACACACGCACACTTTACTTTCACATACATATATAGCTAACCAAATATATGCAGATATACATATATACATATGTGCCTCTGATATTCTTCCTATATTTACATAAAAATGCACTCGATCTGCCTTTGCCCGCATGTGTGTCAATATAAATATATATATTTACATTTGACACACACACACATGCACACACACGCATACATCTCTGCTACTTATTCGCACATTTGGCCCGACAATGTTCTCTGTCATACTCCTCTCTGCCTCCTCTTTGTGTCTTTCTTCATGTCTAACATGCTAAGCGTCTAATCGGCTTTGACTTTGACTTTAATTTTCGCCAGCTTTTGTCTGACTTTTTCCCATACAATATTTATACTCGCTCACGAAATGTAGAGAGAGTATATTGGTTGAGTTTAATATTCTACTTGATATATTTGACTGCAATTTCGCTTCTAGAAAAATTTCAAAATTGTGGATGAGTTTTGTCTTTTTCTAGATATATCTTGCAAAATATGTATAATATAAAAGAAATGTTCAGACGATTTCAAATATTTTTACAAAAATGATCTTTATAGATCTTAAAAAAATTATATGCACACTCACTGCTATCACAATTTTTAGATGAAACACTCTGAGCATGTAGCTTCATAACAGGAGATAATGTATAATAATAAAAAAAAAAAAAAAAAAAAAAAAAAAAAAATTTTCAAATCAAAAGGAAAAATATTTCAAATCATATGATAATAGTATTTTTAGTTGTTTTTAACT